GATCTTACTTCCCGTCGTCCCGGTTAGCCGGGCGTCGCTGGGAACGACCGCTAGCTCTCCCTGGCAGCGGTCTCTAGGGCGTCGAGACGCCTGGTCGTGGTCTTCCTGTCGTCGAAGCGCTGCTACAAACCACGATTGTTGCTCTGCTGGTGTTGCGTCGTCGCGTTGCTACCGTTGCTCGCAGCTTGTTGTTGTTGTTGTTGCTGCTGCGATGACGACGACGGTGGCGGCGGCATCTCGTCGTCGCGTAGACAGGCTGACTCCAGATGTTTGTTCAGGTAGGACTTGAGGGCGAAGGTCTTGTGGCATCTCGAGCACTCGTAGTTCTTGTCCGCGGAGTGGGTCTGCATGTGGGCGCGGAGATTCGACCGGTCGGCGAACGCTTTGCCGCAGTGCGCGCACCCGTACGGCTTCTCGCCGGTGTGACTTCTCAGGTGGCCTTGGAGCAGCCAAGGCCTGGAGAACATCTTGCCGCAGACGCCGCAACTGTGGGCCAGCTTGTGGGTGAGCACGTGCATCGCCAGGGCCGGCATGCTCACGTACGCCTTGCCACAGTGGATGCACTTCTTCGCGGACTGCGAGTCGAGGCTGCGATGCGTCTGCTTGTGCCGGGACAGATTGGACGACGTGGCGTACTGTTTGCCGCACTCCGTGCACGTGAACTTGGGCCGATCCGGCTGCGTGGCTTCCTTGTCGGGAACCGCCGCGCCATTCGCGTTCGCGTTCCGACGTTTCGACCGGCCGTCCGACACGAAGAACGCCTCGTACGTGTAGGCTACCGTCTTGCTGCTGCTGCTGCTGCTGCCGCTGCTGCTGTCGAACACGGAGAACACCAGTGATTTACACAATAAATCGATATCTCGAGATTAGGTTGGCAGCTCGAGGTTCGAGCCTGCTGTTTAGAATTTATCACGAGCAACGTGTAACACCCATGCGACAGATTCGTGAACCAGATACACGCGACACCGAGAGTGAACATGTACACACGTATCCAGACACAATCATTTATACAACATTATCCAACGTGACATACATAACGAACTGTCGCGTATATATATACATACACACACACACACACAC